TCAAGTTTGGCAGCGGTGGTGAGGTTGGCTCAGCATCGGACATTATTTCGTTCTGCTGTGCATGGGGTTGCTATGCGTTGGTTCCTACTCGATGGCACCTGACAACAACAACAACCCAGCAAGAAAAAAGCAGGGCTGGCCAGACAGACAAACCATATGAACACTGTGTAAAACCTCAACATAAAATGACACAACTATTTCGAGAATTACACTGTGCACACGTAGATACCTAACTGAACTTCAGAGACAAAAATAGTAGAAAATGTTTCTCCCATTAACTTCTCAGTATCTATATGTGCAGGTCTACATGAGGGCCCTGGTATAGTGGACACCCCAACCACTGCTGGAGGTTTCTATGGTGGGGCCTGAGACAGTGGACACCCCCACATATTTCTGGAGGTTTCTATGGTGCATGCACAATACCTGCACAGCAAAGGTGACTGGCCAGTTGGCTAAGGTTTTATTTTTGTTTTAGAGTGGTGGTTTTTGTCTCTGCTTTTATATTGATTTTGTTATTGTTCCTTTTGATCACAGTTTTGTTTTGTTTTGTTTTTTTTCCCAGAGGTGGGAAATTTTTCTCCCTACATCACTCAAGAAGAGACAGCAATCGTAGACATATAGCACAGCTAAAAGCATACCACATAAAATGCCACCATTGAGACAAGAACCAGTAACAGCTGCTAGGCATTATATGCAAAGGGGAAGCTTATCTCCTGATTATATCCACCAGGAGACACCCAGTAAGCTTAACAACACAGCAACAAACATCAACTTAAGCATTAAAAACTCACCTAAATACTGAAAATGACAAAGAAAACACAGCAAGAGGTCTCAAAACCTGTCCAAAACTGAAAAAAGTATCTGAGACAAATGAGCTGGCGGCATACAAAGGCTTTCCAGAAGAGAAAGAGCAGGCTTTGGATTTGCCTGAGAAGGAATTCAGAAGAATGATATGGAAACAAATTTAAATGTTCTGAAAATGGGTGAAGGAAAATAAGCGAGAAGTCAGGAAAGCACTACAGAAGCAATTAAACATTATCAATACAGCATTGGAAACAATTCAAAACCTGTGTATAGTGGTCCAGATGATTAATAATAAAATGTCAGAAATGGACAATACACTGAAAGGGCAATGGAGCAAAACTGAAGAGATGAACACCAGAACCAGTGAGCTAGAACACAAATCTCTCGATATTGATAAGATACAAGGGGTTGGTAGTTATGTGCCGTGGGGTTAGAATTGATTCATAGTGATCCTGTACAGGGTTTCCAAGGCTGTAAATCTTTATGGGAGCAGAAAACCTCATCTTTCTCCTGCAGAAGATCTGGTAGTTTTGAACTGTTGACCTTAAGGTTTGAACCCAATTCATAAGGCCTATGCTACCGGAGCTCATTAAGAGAGAAGAGCAAGCAGAAAAAAGGGAAAAAAAAAATCTGAAGAGAGTGTAAGATTCATGCTGGATAACATGTAGAGGAATGAATTAAGAATTGCTGGCATTCCACAACAGGAAGTATCACAGAAGTCCACAGATGAGATAGTTCAAGAACTACTGGAATAAAATTTCCCTAACATCTAGAAGGATGAGAAAATAAGCATTCAAGAAGCAGGAGTGGCAAGACTAATTTCTGATAAAATAAACTTTAAGGTAAAAATCACTATAAGATATAAAGAAGGACACTATCTCATGATCAAATGGTCAATTGAACAAGATGACATAACCATAGTAAATATCCATATTTCCAATGAAAGATATCAATATAAATGAAGCAAACTCTACTAGAATTGAAGAAAAAACAGGTAAATCTACAATTATAGTGCAAGATTTGAATATGACAATTTAGAAAATGAACACAACAACCAGAAATAAACTCAACAAAGTTACAGAGGAACTAAACAGCACATTCAACCAACTTGACCTCAACA